ACATAGAAAACACATAGACTGACACAAAGAAACATACTCATAAATACAAATACTTGCACCGCACCACAAATCGAACCGAAGTTTGTGAAGAGGTAGTGATTTTTTTAAATTAAATTTCGTTTAAAATTAACAAATATATTATATAACAATGGGTATATATTTTTATATAAGTAGTAAATAAAAAAAAATTAGAATTAACGAAGATATATAACAATTGCCACATCTCCTTTTTGAAGTCGGTTAAAAACTAATAAGTACAGACGAAAGAATGCACTGTTGTTGCCGTTTCATAACTGTGCTCCAAACATTAATTACATAGACATATAAGAGCATAGATAATAGATATACTCATAGATAATAGATATACTCATAGATAATAGAGCGGATTGCAAGAATCATAGACGGGATGCTATTAGATATAACATCATACAAGACAGACTTATTGTACGCCATAAAGTGTAATGAATTAACATCCGCTGGGAACTTTATAGGTCTGTATATAGCTATTATCTTGAATAGATAACGAACGCGGTATCATTTTACAAAGAGATAATAAAAATTGAAGATCAATACATACATTTATTACAATCGAATATAAACATTTAAGAATAGTTAAAATCAATTTAACATGTTGTAATGTTCGAAATCTATTATCATGATCATTACATAGTATAAAACTAAGTCGCTGTCACTGTCTGTCCGTCCCTATGTATGCTTAAATCTTTAAAACTACGCAACGGATTTTGAAGTGTTTTTTTTAATAGATAGAGTGATTCAAGATGAAGGTTTATATGTATAATACACACCCGGGCGAAGCCGGGGAGAGTAGCTAGTTTTGAATAAAAGGAAGATGTATTTGTTATATTACAATGATCGTTAAGACATATGTATAGGATATCACTGTATTACGGTTTGGAAAGGGACTGGTCGTTAATTAAATAAAAACATTATAAAATAGAAGGGAAAATAATGTAGAGTAAAAAAAAAATCGTATTATTTTTCCCTTATCCTTATCCACAAATGTTACAATTTGTATATAAAGGATACGAGTTTTTCCACAAATAATCAATGTAATAGAAATATACTAAAAGACATCCTAACAAATAAGAAAAAAAAATGGAAGTGTCAACTACTAGTGTTAATTCTATTCACCGATAATATCGAAAGACGCGTGAAACTCACGTACCAAATCAGCGTTTCACGTATAGAAATAGAAATAGAAGTAATCTTTATTCAAATAAACTTAATAAAAGCACTTTTGAATACTATCTAAATAATCTACTAGATTTTAGCACAAACAATTTAACATTTACCTACAATGTTTCTTTAATGAAAAGATAAGATGAATGCAGTCTGAATGTTATTCCTGTTGATGAATACTGTTCTATAATTTGCATTGCATCGAAAATAGTGTTAATTGTACGTATACAAAGGCAGTGCACTCAAGATTTCATAGTTCAGAATTCACACGGACGGTGTGAAAAAAAGCTACGCTGCAATAAAGAACACACAACACAACGTGTAGGAAGATATTTGATTGGATCAGGAACACATTGACTATTTTATTAAAAATCATAATAGTAGATAAATCTAATCAAAAAACTAGTCAAAAGTGACATATATAAATCAGATATCAAAAATACAAAGCTTATAAAAAGAATGGCGGACAGGTTGCCAGCAACAATATTATTATTTCTCATATCGTTATAACATCTCTGATTAGTAGATTTTTAATGTAATAACATAATTCAAGTCGGAATTAAACATTGTAGAATTCAACACGAACGGATGTTGAGACATTTCTGAAAGAGTATGTTAAATTTTTCTTTCTTAAAAGTATTTAGTAGCATTTAATCTGCAGGAAACCATTAAAAAATATTCTATATAACAAAAGTAAGTTATTTATATAATTATATGTTGAAAATTTGGATGATTAAGTTATATTATATGAGGACAACGTTACATGTGTTTGTCCATTAATTCATGAAGTACGACTTAAGACCTTTGCCTCAAAACGTATGCGTAGGATATTAAAAAAAAAAAGATTTATGATGGAGTTTTAAAAATGTTAACTGTTCTTAATTCCAAAATTTATGGCCAAAAACCGTCTTCATTCAAATCCTCAGCACCGTGAACGCATTAGAATATTAAAAACATATCATAAGATTCTTCTCACATAAATTACTAGCCATGCATGCATACGTGTATGGGAATAAAGCGCTAAACAATAGGGTAAATCTTAATAAATGATCACATTCATGCATGGGGCGCAAGACATTTGAATCTCATGCGTAAACCCTTTCACTGCGACACCTGGCCGCTCAGACCCAGAGTCAAAATTTTCTTTTATCGCATTAGCATAATATTTATAATATTGACAATGGGATGCTTTATTCAAAGTAGTATAGTTTCCGTATCGGTAAGTTTAATGCACGGTAGCATTGTATCGGAGATAAGGGATACGGTTACAATAGAGACTTTATGACGGCGGTTTGTAAGACGCTTCTTGAAAGGGTAGAAGTAGTTAACGAGCCGTGTTAAGCAATTCAATATCAATTTAGCGTTGGTTTCACATTCACCTTCCTGATTTTATCTATTAAATACTTAATTTATAACGCAGTAATCATGCAATTAATATATAAGTACAAAGTAACTGGTTCCTATGCCGACCATAAATCTAACTTTTAATAAACGTTTTAATGGTTACTTCATGTTCTATCGACATTTATTAAACATGTTGTTTGTATTATACTAGTATACTTGAATAAGTAGAACAAATGAAAGTAATTTATCTTGAAACGGCCGAAACAGCCCCTGAGCAAACTATCCGTTGCATCTTCCGATCCACTTTCCAAGTCAACACAAAAAAATCCTTTTAACCCCACAATAGATATCGTCCTTTTGTCTAGAAACCGTCAAATGATACGCATTAGGTTTTTTGCCGTGTTATGAATACATTTAAAACAGGAAGGATGTGAAAGTCGGGGGTATTAATACACCGTATGGCATTGAAGGGTTAGGGTGTGTTTAGACCGGCTGTGCTCTACAAAGAAATGTGGATAATAGTAGAAACAGTACATTAACAAATGAATTATTGCCGACGTTTTGTGGTAACTGATGTTATTACATTTTTGTCGTCCAAATTGATTTTGAATTCTGACTAATAAACCTAAGTACCATAAAGTAGCTTTTTGTGTGTAAATTAAATTGCACAATTAAAATTCTAATACGGAAATTCGAAGATTTCATATGAAAATCGTGTGTGACAAATAAAATGGCATATGATTAGACTATATCTAATCTTATGTCGATAGTGTGAGGTTTATATGCTGTAATCAATCAATTGCTTATCAAAGGAAACTTTCTCCGATCCGATAGCGCAGTATCAAGTACTTATGATAATTCGAGTCACATTGAAATTTTGATAAAACTTCACAACGATTGGATTTATCGCTTGTTATTTTAAATAACAGGTTTAGTGTGTAATAATTATTTCTGGTACAGAAAAAGTAGCGAGAAGTTTATAGCACACCTACATTACATAATTTTATGTCATTAGCTGAAATTTTAATAGTGTTTATGTTATATAACATATAGAATATTAATGACAAAACTCATAATGTCAGGGAATTGAAATTATTACGGTAAATATAACACCACAAAATCCTCACAATCGTAAAAATAGCACGATAGTAAATCGTAACGTGTGTAAATACAAATAAATACAAAGTTATTATGCAAAACTATAAGGTATTTATGTTTATAGTCAAAGCATTAAAATATTGTTTGTTGCATTAAAATAGCATATATGTTATTCTGATGTATAAGCTATATTACTGTAAAGTTTCATCAAAATCTCTTCAGTAGTTTTTGCGTGAAAAAGTAACAAACATCCATTCATATTCACATACTTTCGTTTACAATATTAATAAGATTATATATTTTACCTATAAAGTGTACGTAGAGATTAAGAGGCAGATATTTTTAACAGAACTTAATTTTAACATAAGATAGTGTCAATTATTTAAAATACAACAAACAATTAATCACCGTAGGCCATTTAATGTACATTGAACTTACAATAACTACTGAATTGTTGTAATAAACAAAATAATTATGTTGAGGAAACAACAACTGAAAAATCAATTTACTAGCCACATCCGAAAAATACGGATGTTTACCGGTATTTCTCGGTTCATATTACCTTACTACTCGGTCGTAGTTATGGTACAGTGTAAAAGATTTATTATTACTTGTGGCCGCCGAATGGTCGAAATTCGACCATGAATAATTTTAATTATAACTTTGAACATTATTAAGTTTCTATTGTCAACGACTATACTTCTGTGTATGTGTATGTCAAATATATGGTAGTGTGTGATGTTTTTCTTATTAATGTATTTTTTAAATAAATATTATCATTCTGCACTCATTATCTGTATAGGCTTAAGTGTGCGAAATTATATACTCCGAAGTCTGCGTAATTTTCGTAAAAACCAGTAAAAAAAGGGAACAAAATTTTTGCTTGTATTAATATATATATATAATATATAAATTACGGTTTTGGTGAAAATATCTAAGTATTTATATCAGTTGTCCAGTACCCATAATACAAGCTCTGCTTAGCTTGATACTGTTATTATTGTAAGAAAACACATACCCCACTAGATACATTATTTTTGTTTAACAAATTGTCCGTACCTATATTATCCCAATGTACTTACACCTATTATGAATTTTAGGTTTTTCAACATAGCAATTTAGACTCTGGTTTCTGCAGTATAGGCCCAGCATAGTACTGATTTTTAAATACATATATCATTACACTTAAAAATGGTTGTTCTGTAATCTTACCATAACGGTGAGATTAATAATATTTAACCGATAAATAATAATTAACCAATACGGTACATATATATGATATTATATCCAGAGATAAACTTTCTTTATTAGTTCACTACTAGGAATATTTGAAGATACAATCCCTAAAGTACCGAAAAAAGTGTGGGCCCCATTGGCAATACGTTGAAGACACAAGTCTAAACCGCGACCGTAGGGGACCGGGTTCCATTTCGGCCCTGATTTGACTAACATATTCAAAGAAAATACGTAGCTTCGATACAGGCCGGCGCTGGGATTTGAACTCGCAACCCGAGCATGAATGCAGACGTAGCACCGTTAGACCACGACAAGCATTGTACTTCTATTGAAATTAGTGGTCATGTTCTTGTATCATAAAGGTTTTATATGTCATAAATATTTAAGCATTTTTTTATTAAATACTAGCTGATACGGCAAACGTTGTTTTGCCATATAAATTAAAGTAGGTACTATATACAGTTATATATCGCTATTAAAAATAAGGGTTGATGGTAGAGAGGTGATACTTTATATAATAATTAAAGTATTTGTGGCTACGCTTAACATTTAGGGATACAAAAAATAGATAACAACCTATTCCCAGACCTACTGAGAAGAATACATAAAAAATTTCATCAAAATTGGTTAAGCCGTTTCAGAGAAGTATATATATAGCAACTAACACTGTGACACTTGAGAGAATTTTATATATTATAAGATTTATTTCAATGCAAAGGACTTGAAAAAATCTGTTGCTGGCACTTTTTGAACCGATTTTGATGTATTTTAAAATCATCTGTTTTTTCTTTAACAAATTCTTCGATCATTCTGATCTTTACATAGTAAGATATTGTACAATTGTTATTACATTGTAAATAGAATATATAAAATAGTGACCGGAGGTGTTTTATATTTCATACTTAATGTTGTTTGTTGTCTGTCACAATCTTTATTCAACACAAGGTTCTATATACAAAAATATATAATACAATTCTTAATAGTAAAAAAACATTTTAAATATGAGATATAATGGCTATATGGCCAGTACGTCAACAACACTTAATTTGTTTTAATGTTCTATTTAGAACCTTAAAACAAATAAAGTATAAAATTTCGACAGCCATTCGTGAAATGTACCTCTTCGACACTAATTTATGATAATAATATGCCAATTACAGAATTGACAGAAGGAACATTGCGTCATTGTATAATTGTAAAACTATTTTAAGCGGCCCTTTTTGTGAATTCTCTTAGATAACTGTCAATTAGATGAATTGCAAATACATGCATTACTATGATTACGTTAGGAAAATTTTAACAGACAAATTTAGACCCCAAGGACAATGCTTGTGATCGCAAATAGCCAATAAAAGCACTTAAAATGAAATTATAACATTCAAATATGGAACATTGATATTGTTTTGTTTTCCTTTTATAATTTTTTTCTCTTCTCGAATATTCCGCGTCACTATCAAATAGATACAGTGTATAATCAATTTTAAGCATTTTGTATTTAAAAATAAAATTACAAAATTCAAATATGGAAATTCACCCATTGCACATTGATATTGATTTGTTTTATTTTTAAACATTTTTGTTTACTTATCGAGCATTCCGTCACAATTAAATTAAGCGTATATGTAATCAAATCTAAACATTTCTAATTTCATAGCCAAATAGTAATGAATTTAAAAATAAAATTATATAATTCAAATATAGAACGTTACCCATGGCACATTGATATTGTTTTGTTTCTCTCGTCATACATTTTTTCACGTCTTCTTGAATATTCCTACCTTCCTTACTATTATATTCAGTGTATAAATTCTATACATTTTTTATTTCATTATTATAATAAGATAAACATACTAATATTCCTCCGGCAAACAGACGACACTATTTTTAGACAAATATTACTAGTTGCAATAGAATTATCATCTTTAACCTTTTCTAAATCACTACTACATGTGGCTTCGTTTGTTTTTTTTATCTATAAATCTAAAAGACAGTCTCCATCCTTGTTAAACAATCTATCTTCACGTCAAATTTTATTAAAATATGTTCAGCCGTTTAGTAAGACAAAGGTGACAGACAGACAGACATACTTTTGCATGTATCTTTATATATAAGTCCTTTTTGCGGTAGGCACTGTTACATTAAATTGAAGTTAATAACAATTGTTATTCCATAGTCTATTTATGATTGTTTAATTATGTTTATTTGTAATTTTCCTTACAATTCAGGTAGAAACTATAAATATATATGAAGTATATAACAAATATAAATAATTTACCTTAAATTATGAGGTGATTAACATCCATTGTGACTGTATCTGAAACAATACAAATGAAATTTTTACAATGACATACACACGCAAAAAGTTTTTTTTAATGTATGATAATGGGATGGTGCTCCCGCCTGCGTGGTGGTATACGGTATACTGGTAGGCGGGGCATCGGCTGAGGAGGATAAGGTGAGAGGTCAGTTAGTCCATCGTAATAGATTCACCAGGATATAAGCATGGTGGTTTATAAGAAGACCCCGTGGAGGTCGATATGACACCTACCACCAAATAGCACTATGTTTAAAATACTAGATAATTATTTCTTTTATTAATATGTTTGAGGAAATACGATAATAAACTCTGTTTTATTATACAAAATTAGAAAAATGTTTAAATTTGACAAAGATATCGAGTAACATGTACATTAGAAAAAAATACACGAAGTCGAATTGAGAACTCATTTTTTTAAGTCGGTTGATAAATAGGAGCAGTTATAAAAACTTTATTCAACGAAACATTTATAGAGGCAATAAAAAAATAGTGTTTGGGCGCGACTACCTCTGATCACGTGTTCACGGTTATTTAAGCGATTTACAGCAAAAAGTGCAACCATAGACAAAATTAAACGGGGTAAAAAGTGATACAGACAAAAAATAAGGTGCATTACAAATGTCGAACGCTTAACTTTTTTCACCAATAAAGTTGAAAAGTTTTGTCAAAGAAACGACACCGATATCGTGACTAAATAGCTTTAAAACTGTGACAACTATGTCTTCTTTTTGATCCAATTAAAAAAAGAGGTTTGAGTACCTTCGACTGTAATCTTTTTAGCATTCATGTTACACGATATTTTCGTTGATTTCTGCATCAGTTGTAGGATACCAAATTAATATTAATATTTTTATCTAATAAATGCTGCTTTGCTCTAGTGACTGGTCTGCTTTGATAACTTTCATGACTGATTTATCTGCCTACTTACGTCAATAAATGTAAATATAATATTTTACTCTGATGAATTAGTACTGTAGTACTAATACCATTATAGTTAGTATTTACACAAATCTTAAAAAATACAAGTTGGAAATTTTGTCCAAAGAGCAAAAAAGTTGCAAGTCTGAAATAAAATGTTGATGATAAAATGACAGATATTATCGAGTAAATAATTCGATCATCCATTAGAATCGACTTCTATTTGTTCCTAATTCGAATTTCAAAAGTTGCCTGCTGATCGGGAATTTTTTTACATTGCTTGTAACAGTTGCAATAGCATCAAAAATGTGTAATATCTAAAATGAATACTAAATTTAAACATAAAATTGTGAAATGCTGACTTTGACGTATTATGTTATATACCTGCCTGTTTTTAAGGAGAGAATATTTCTTAAAATACTTTTTTATTTATTTAATAAAAGAATCCACAACTGCTGGCAAAGTAAAAAACACACGCAGCTATAAATAAATAACACATATCTATAGGGAAATGTACAATCCGGCTATGATTTATCAAAGTATTTATCACGTAAAGGTGTCAACAAATCACATTTGGCCATTCATCTATGTCTGACGGGGCTTATCGCGCGGATATCTAGATGCTGAGGCCCATATATTATTTATTTATGCATGAAATTTGCATACACTTTTCAAGGGTTAAGCGTGAGGTAGGCATCAGAACAAAATAATGTTGGTATGAAACTGTCCGTTCTTTTAGCACTGCATATTTGAAAGCAATTGTTTGCATAGATTATTTTTTAATTGTTTTACTTTTTTTACGCAACTGGAATCGTAAACAAGGTGTCACATAGATGTCACAGCATATGTTTCATGATTTACTTATATTGTGTTGTGGGTTATTATATCTATTTCTAAAACTTATCTGGTTAGTCTTGCCCTTACTATAAACATCCTAGATTTAACACGAGCCGATCATTAAAATAGAGTGGTAATATATGATTTTTAACATTACAATCGTTAAGTAATTATGCAATACATTCTTGTATTCATACAACAACGCAACATTGTAACTTAGTTAAAATATCACGTTTCTAAGCTCCAGTTCGTGGAACGAAACGCAATATGGCGACTTGAAAAAACTTTAACTTTAAATTAGTAAGATGATATTATTTGAACACAATTAGCTTTTATAAATAAAAAGTACCTACACCAATATTAAAAAATAAAATACGAGTAATTTGTCTATAAACTTGTTTCTGCAAATTGGTATAAAAATAGAAAGCATAAACTACTCATTTAAATAAGGAATATTACTTGTATTAATAATAATACTAGTACCCTGCCCACGGCTTCGTACGGATATAAATATATGTGACGGAGTTCCTATGACTCTATGAAAGAATTATACCTTATATATAATTATAATTATAAGGTTTTTACCTTGCAAAAGAATTGTCCAAATGGTAGTGAAAACTGTATTAAAATCCGGTGTGTGGATTAATAGAATTAAGCGGAAAATCAGAAAAATTATGAATATAATTGCTCTATTTTATTTATACACAAATATAATTAATATATTCTTAAATATGATTCCGAATTGTACACATAATTTATCATTCACAAGCCTATTCCTACACAATTTGAACTAAATTTAATAAAAATCTATACATCAAAGTGCCCCAACATTGATTAATTTTTATCTATTCCCGAACTAAACGCAATCTATAAAAACGCAAATAAAAAATACAATTGTATTCAATCTGAACGCAGTCAAATTGAAACATTTAAAAAACCGTATTTTTTTTAAACCACTCGAGGAAGAAGGAGCAATCCACAAGAATGAGTAGTGAAATAACAATGGTAAACTTTACACGTAGTTTGAAAAAGTGTAAAAGTATACTCAACGTAATGTACTCCATTGTGACTGCGTGCTGTATGGGTTTCTATCCCATTGTGTTGTTACATACAAGACAGTAATGAATTGCTTGTTACTCCAACTCAAACATGTTTTGACAAGGAGCGACTGATGTGTAAT